GTGGGGTGTATTTAACATCTTTTTATGTTATGTATTGTGTTTATTATATAATTTTGAAAAAATATCATAGATGGATTAATGAAAATGTGTATTTAACGTAATATACGACATTTAAATGAGACGATGATTATTATTATCATTACTAATATGACGTCTGGAGACATAAGACACTCTTACTGATTTTAATGTGTACCTGCATGCCAGCACAGTATGTAAGTTTATTTAAGTACAGGTATACATAAGTATAATTATCAGAGTATATATAAAATATGAAATAACTTTTAAAAACATTTGAAATTTTGGAGTTTCCAGACAAAATGGAGAGACTTAGTGCTTACTGAGCTCACGAAGAATGTAAACAAACAAGGTGGGGTGCGGTGACCGTATTAGAAAGTCAGGTGGGGGGAGCCGTATAGCGAGTTTTGGTCATAATTTGAAATGACCGTATTAGCGGAACGCCGTAAAGTGAAACGCCGTAAAGCGGGGCCTTCCTGTATTGTTATATTGTGTATCAATTATGTGGCCCAATGATATACTGTAGTGCTCAATTATGTTGCTGCTCTAAATAATTCTTCTAACATTATAATTAATATTGTAAATTGTTATGAATATGACAGACTTGCATTAAGATTGATTTGTGCTCTGTTGTTTTTTCTATGAACATACAGTATCAGAATAGGCTTAGGATTAAGTAAACTAAATTGTGTACTCTACTGTATTAATCAGCTCATGCTTAAAAAGATTAGATACCTCTTTTCTGTGTACTGAAATACACTAATTCCTTTTTTAATACCTAAAAGACAATTAAATGTTAAAGTTCTTAGATATTTCCATGACCATAATACTTCCTGCACTCCTGTCTGATCTAACACTATTCATAGAAAATGTTATTTACCTTCTCTGAAAATTTAAGCAGCAATGCATCCTACATTTTTTAAGTCTATGGTTTTGCATTTTGTAGAACTGGTCAATCCAGACAATATCTTGCAGCATTGGATTTATTACTTGATATATGTGTAAGAGTATATGGAGAGTAAAAGAAAGGTGAAGAGAGTGGTGAGAGAGTGCAAAAGGAGAGCAGATGATAGAGTGGGAGAGGCACTGTCAAGAAATTTTAATGAAAATAAGAAAAAATTTTGGAGTGAGTTAAACAAGTTAAGAAAGCCTAGGGAAAGTACGGATTTGTCAGTTAAAAACAGAGTAGGGGAATTAGTAGATGGGGAAAGGGAGGTATTAGGTAGATGGCGAGAATATTTTGAGGAACTTTTAAATGTTGAGGAAGAAAGGGAGGCGGTAATTTCATGCACTGGCCAGGGAAGTATACCATCTTTTAGGAGTGAAGAAGAGCAGAATGTAAGTGTGGTGGAGGTACGTGAGGCATTACATAGAATGAAAGGGGGTAAAGCAGCTGGAACTGATGGGATCATGACAGAAATGTTAAAAGCAGGGGAAGATATAGTGTTGGAGTGGTTGGTACTTTTGTTTAATAAATGTATGAAAGAGGGGAAGGTACCTAGGGACTGGCAGAGAGCATGTATAGTCCCTTTATATAAAGGGAAAGGGGACAAAAGAGATTGTAAAAATTATAGAGGAATAAGTTTACTGAGTATACCAGGAAAAGTATACGGTAGGGTTATAATTGAAAGAATTAGAGGTAAGACAGAATGTAGGATTGCGGATGAGCAAGGCTTCAGAGTGGGTAGGGGATGTGTAGATCAAGTGTTTACATTGAAGCATATATGTGAACAGTATTTAGATAAAGGTAGGGAAGTTTTTATTGCATTTATGGATTTAGAAAAGGCATATGATAGAGTGGATAGAGGAGCAATGTGGCAGATGTTGCAAGTATATGGAATAGGTGGTAAGTTACTAAATGCTGTTAAGAGTTTTTATGAGGATAGTGAGGCTCAGGTTAGGGTGTGTAGAAGAGAGGGAAAATACTTCCCAGTAAAAGTAGGTCTTAGACAGGGATGTGTAATGTCACCATGGTTGTAAAAGAAGTAAATGCTAGGGTGTTCGGGAGAGGGGTGGGGTTAAATTATGGGGAATCAAATTCAAAATGGGAATTGACACAGTTACTTTTTGCTGATGATACTGTGCTTATGGGAGATTCTAAAGAAAAAATTGCAAAGGTTAGTGGATGAGTTTGAGAATGTGTGTAAAGGTAGAAAGTTGAAAGTGAACATAGAAAAGAGTAAGGTGATGAGGGTATCAAATGATTTAGATAAAGAAAAATTGGATATCAAATTGGGGAGGAGGAGTATGGAAGAAGTGAATGTTTTCAGATTCTTGGGAGTTGATGTGTCGGCAGATGGATTTATGAAGGATGAGGTTAATCATAGAATTGATGAGGGAAAAAAGTTGAGTGGTGCGTTGAGGTATATGTGGAGTCAAAAAACGTTATCTATGGAGGCAAAGAAGGGAATGTATGAAAGTATAGTAGTACCAACACTCTTACATGGGTGTGAAGCTTGGGTGGTAAATGCAGCAGCGAGGAGACGGTTGGAGGCATTGGAGATGTCCTGTTTAAGGGCAATGTGTGGTGTAAATATTATGCAGAAAATTCGGAGTGTGGAAATTAGGAAAAGGTGTGGAGTTAATAAAAGTATTAGTCAGAGGGCAGAAGAGGGGTTGTTGAGGTGGTTTGGTCATTTAGAGAGAATGGATCAAAGTAGAATGACATGGAAAGCATATAAATCTATAGGGAAAGGAAGGCGGGGTAGGGGTCAACCTCGAATGGGTTGGAGAGAGGGGGTAAAGGAGGTTTTGTGGGCAAGGGGCTTGGACTTCCAGCAAGCGTGCATGAGCGTGTTAGATAGGAGTGAATGGAGACGAATGGTACTTGGGACCTGACGATCTGTTGGAGTGTGAGCAGGGTAATATTTAGTGAAGGGATTCAGGGAAACCGGTTTTCATATAGTCGGACTTGAGTCCTGAAAATGGGAAGTACAATGCCTGAACTTTAAAGGAGGGGTTTGGGATATTGGCAGTTTGGAGGGATATGTTGTGTATCTTTATATGTGTATGCTTCTAAACTGTTGCATTCTGAGCAGCTCTGCAAAAACAGTGATAAGGTGTGAGTGTGGTGAAAGTGTTGAATGATGAAAGTATTTTCTTTTTGGGGATTTTCTTTCTTTTTTGGGTCACCCTGCCTCGGTGGGAGACGGCCGACTTGTTGAAAAAAAAAAAAAAATATGCATTTTCACTAATATAAAAAAATTATGTTTTATAAGATATACAGTAATACAGTAGACCACTGTTTAACACGATAGTTACATTCCTGAAAACGCTGTTTTAGTTAAAACCGTGTTAGACAAACTGAAGAACTTATGGGAAAAACAGGGTTACATTCCTGGGAGCCCCAAAAAAGTCAAACAACTTATTTTTAGACCTCCAGATCTTACAAAATTAAAAGTGAATATGTAATTGTAGTTCATTGTTGTGATGTATTATGTTGTTTTTACTGTTTAAGATTACAAATGCAGCAGAAATAATAGTATTTCTTAACTTAAATTGTGGGTGCTGGTGTTTGTGGATGATTGTGGAGAGTTATGCTGTGGCCCTACTGGGCTGAGGTGGATGGTAGAGGTTCTGATATTGAAGTCGATGGTTGTACTGGAGTGTACAAAATTCTGTAATGGATTTCTGTTCTATTTTACCCCGTGGTACATTACACAACTGATGGTAAGGCATCAGCTGCTCTAGACACCATTTCAGGGTCCTTTTCAGTGAAAAAGTCTAAGTCAGTTAAGTCAGTCAGTCAGTTAAGTCAGTTAAGTCAGTCAGTCAGTTAAGTCAGTTAAGTCAGTTAAGTCAGTCAGTCAGTCAGTCAGTCAGTCAGTCAGTCAGTCAGTCAGTCAGTCAGTCAGTCAAGTCAGTCAGTCAAGTCAGTCAGTCAAGTCAGTCAGTCAAGTCAGTCAGTCAAGTCAGTCAGTCAAGCCAGTCAGTCAAGCCAGTCAGTCAAGCCAGTCAGTCAAGCCAGTCAGTCAAGCCAGTCAGTCAAGTCAGTCAGTCAGTCAAGTCAGTAAGTCAGTCAGTAAATCAGTCAAGTCAGGAAATCAGTCAGTAAGTCAGTCAGTCATCACAGTAAGTTCATTCAGGTATACACAAATACAGTTACATAGATTATCATACACTGCAGTATATGTGTAGAGAACCAAGGATAACCCAAAAAAGTCAGACAGAGTGACTTATTTCCATTGGGTCATATTTACCTCATATTTAACTCATATTTACCTCATTGTTTTCATGTGCACAAAGTGATGCTTCATTACGGCCACAGGCTATCTCTTGTCTAATATCACTATTTTCTTCATTAATTCTAAGACTTAAACACTTAAACCTTTCCTTGCCACTTTCAGCATCACTTGTATGCCTACTGGGTGCCATGATTACTTAGCAGATTTAAGAAATGGCAATTAAAGGATATAAACTCCTAGCAGAGGATGGTACGTACTACACACGCATGAACCAGACTGGGACAAGGGTGATGGAGGTGGCGGAGGGTGGCGGTAGGTCTCCCCCGTTGACTCAATGGCCTAACCCACAGCCAAGCAGTGTGTATCCAGCGGGCGATGCACTCAAAATTTTTTCCCCTCCCGCAAACTAAACTGTGTTAAGTTAATTTTACAAAGTGTTATACAAAAATATGCCACAATTCTTCAATAGTGCTTTAACCAAAACATGCCAAACAAAACCGTGTTAAACGATGATCTACTGTACATCGTCATTAGAATCTTTGCCAGGTGTTTTTATGAATTGTCATATACAGTACATACTTTTTAATGCTCAACGAGGTATAATATGTAGACTAAGTCTCACAAGAATCTGTAGTAAAATCTCTCCCTAACTAATGATGAGTAACCTAATTACAGTAATTAACTATTAAAACGAGTTGCGGAATCCTCATGTAACTGATATTTACACTTAGATGAGCTATTGTCAATGTAGACAAACTGGTGGCAAAAAGCAAATCCCACTGCAGCAGGCCATAAGCTTACCCGTCACCTTGGCAGTAGAATTGGCCATGCCATGTGTTACGTTCCACACTAGTCCACCCACCGATCCTTCATTAACCAGTTCATTCACGCCTTCGCTCACGTCAGCAAAGAAACCGAATGGATTACCTAAAAAGTCTGTTGACCCAAGGATTTTCATTGCCTGTGACTTCAGCTCCTGAGATAAATAAGAAATTATTTAATGCAAGACATCATGAACAATGAATATATTAAAAAGGCATTGTTCCTTGATACAATATAATCACAGAGTAAATATGAAAGCAGGAAATACTGTATTTCTCAAACAAGTATTGCTGTGTGCATTCATATTACTGCATCTTAAATACTATGATCCTCCATTTTTATACTAAGCCTGTTACTACAAGTGTTTAAGAGCAATGACAAGTTTTCTGTTCAGTATTTCAAAGTGCTTTGTACTTTAAGTGAGGCATTATATGAATGTAGGTTATGTAACACAATCTGAATATACTATAAAGAAATGAACTGTCAGTGTAAGTGTTCAGGAGAAAAAAAAAAAAAAAAAGGCAAGCAATTCCAGCAGTGCAAAATATATAAAATTTCAAAGGGTGGGAAAGATGAGGCTAAGGCAAAATAAGATCAACACTAAGTATCTGCACAAAATCTGAATAATATCCTAAAAGGTTAAGCTATTATATGTCATTTGGTTGTATCTAATCATAAGGGTTGTGACTTAGTATTCTCTTCAGGCCCCCTGCTGTTCACAATCTACATAAACGACATAGATGAGGGCATAAAGAGCGACATCGGCAAGTTTGCCGATGACACCAAAATAGGCCGTCGAATTCATTCTGACGAGGACATTCGAGCACTCCAGGAAGATTTGAATAGACTGATGCAGTGGTCGGAGAAGTGGCAGATGCAGTTTAATATAGACAAATGCAAAGTTCTAAATGTTGGACAGGACAATAACCATGCCACATATAAACTAAATAATGTAGATCTTAATATTACGGATTGCGAAAAAGATTTAGGAGTTCTGGTTAGCAGTAATCTGAAACCAAGACAACAGTGCATAAGTGTTCGCAATAAAGCTAATAGAATCCTTGGCTTCATATCAAGAAGCATAAATAATAGGAGTCCTCAGGTTGTTCTTCAACTCTATACATCCTTGGTTAGGCCTCATTTAGATTATGCTGCACAGTTTTGGTCACCTTATTACAGAATGGATATAAATTCTCTGGAAAATGTACAAAGGAGGATGACAAAGTTGATCCCATGTATCAGAAACCTTCCCTATGAGGATAGACTAAGGGCCCTGAATCTGCACTCTCTAGAAAGACGTAGAATTAGGGGGGATATGATTGAGGTGTATAAATGGAAGACAGGAATAAATAAAGGGGATGTAAATAGTGTGCTGAAAATATCTAGCCTAGACAGGACTCGCAGCAATGGTTTTAAGTTGGAAAAATTCAGATTCAGGAAGGATATAGGAAAGTACTGGTTTGGTAATAGAGTTGTGGATGAGTGGAACAAACTCCCAAGTACCGTTATAGAGGCCAGAACGTTGTGTAGCTTTAAAAATAGGTTGGATAAATACATGAGTGGATGTGGGTGGGTGTGAGTTAGACCTGATAGCTTGTGCTACCAGGTCGGTTGCCGTGTTCCTCCCTTAAGTCAATGTGACCTGACCTGACTAGGTTGGGTGCATTGGCTTAAGCCGGTAGGAGACTTGGACCTGCCTCGCATGGGCCAGTAGGCCTTCTGCAGTGTTCCTTCGTTCTTATGTTCTTATTAATTTTCTATAGATCTTTGACTGTGGAGGTTGTATTTTAAGTGCTTTATGAATACAAAGACCTAAAGTTTTAAAGAGTTCTTTTAACTCTTAAACTGTCCAAACAGATCTATGTTCACATGCGTAATGCTCCAAAAGCAGATCTACGTTTTTTTACATATTTTCAAATACGTATAACAAAAAAAATTTGGATCAAAGTTTTTTACATGTTTTCAAATGTAAAAAAAAAAAAAAAACAAAAGATCTATTTTTTTTTTTACATACTTTCAAATGTTGAAAAAACGTAGATCTATGTTCAGACAGTTTAAGGGTTAACTAGTTAATAAGAAAGGAGCCAAAATACACACACATTGTATTAAATCCATAATTCAAAAAGTCTCTCATCAACTGTGAAACTTTCTTAGTATTAAGTAGTTTAAGTCTACCTGAAATGCTCTGCATAACAATGAGCTTCAAAAGTTGCCGAAACCCTTGCCTCATTCATCATTTCGTTTAAGTTGCTGACTGATTTCACTGATAATTTCCCAGGTGTATTAGTGTTATAGGCATTTACTTTTTAATTCTGATCAAAATGGCAGGTTAAATTTCAGCAGGAGACTGAGCATGACTCATGCAGCACAATCTCCAATAAATGCATGGATACCATTCATCATTTGGCTAATAATAAATGAGAAAACATCCACAATATATCACAATACTTGCTCCCATATTATTCCTCATCCTCATATCTGACATAGACAGAGATGTAAGCCAGAGTTCTATGTCTTCCTTTGCGGATGACACCCAGACTGCCATGGCAGACCTCCATCGAAGACACCGCAAGACTCCATGTGGACATAAACCAAATCTTCATACAGGCCACTCAAAACAATATGAAGTTCAATGAGGAGAAATTTCAACTACTCAGATATGGAAAACTTGAGGAAATTAAAAATGTATCAGGGTGTACGACAAATTCTAACCTTACAATAGAGCGAAAAAGTAACGTGAAGGACCTGGGAGTGATAATGTCAGAGGATCTCGCCTTCAAAGACCACAACAACGCATCTACGGCATCTGCTAGGAAAATGATAGGATGTATAATGAGAACCTTCAAAACTAGGGATGCCAAGCCCATGATGATTCTCTTCAAATAGCTTGTTCTCTCTAGGCTGGAATACTACTGTACACTAACAGCCCCTTTCAAGGCTGGTGACACTGCTGACCTGGAGAGTGTACAAAGAACTTTCACAGCACACATAAATCTGATAAGGCACCTAAATTACTGGGAATGGTTGAAGGTCCTTGATCTATATTCCCTGGAACGCAGGTGCGAGAGATACATGATAATATACACTTGGAAGGTCCTGGAGAGATTGGTACCAAACCTACACACAAAAATCACTCCCTATGAAAGCAAAAGACTCGGCAGAAGATGCAACATTCCCTCAATGAAAAGCAGCAACGCCACGAGTACATTGAGAGACAACACAATAAGTGTCCGGGGCCCAAGATTGTTCAACTGCCTCCCAGCATACATAAGGGGGATTACCAATAGACCCCTGGCTGTCTTCAAGAAGGCACTGGACAGGCACCTAAAATCAGTACCTGACTAACCAGGCTGTGGTTCGTACATTAGTTTGCGTGCGACCAGCAGTAACAGCCTGGTTGATCAGACCCTGATCCACCATGAGGGCTGGTTTCAGACCGAGCCGCAGGGGCATTGACCCCAGAAACCCTCTCCAGGTAAACTATGCTGGAACGAATACCATCATTCACAATAATTTCATAATTTACTAACTACCTAGCCATCAATTTATAAATATTTGAGTATATGTGTGTATGATTCCATATACTGAACATATATTTTTTTTAGTGTCCAACAATTGTTGTTTCTGAGGAAGCTCTAAAATGCATTTATTTTTCACCATTTTTACCTCATCAGCAGTGTTTCCAAAAAATGGAAACACATTTATCATTCATTGAATGGATGGCTTGCCAGAAGTGTGCTGACATCACAGTTTAGATGATACCACTTGAAACATCCCACCCCATCTTCAGACTGTAGGCACCATCCTTCCAGTTTACAATACCATGTTAGACCAATATTCAGTGTTTCAATATTCAGCTTACTATAATTTTCAACTTTTGCTCTAACATTCAAGAATGTTGTGGTATGTGACAGCTGTTTCTGCTAAATTCTTATTTTGACCTTTCTCTGTGAATCAAGTTAAGTGTGTATTCTTCATTTCATACAATTACGGAGTGTGCAAGGCTTCTTTAATGCTAATAATAATTCAGTTACAAACCAATAAAGAGTCATTACCAGAAAGTATTTCAGTGGGACACCAAAGTACGATAAAACAAAATGTGAGTGTTTCTTTTTTGGGTCACCCTGCCTCAGTGAGAGACGTCTGATGTGTTAAAAAATCTAAAGACTATTTCTCGCATGTTTGCTACTATGATATGATTAGTTCAAAGTGACCTAAGTTTATAATACATTTTATTTTCTTAGGGTAAACATTTTTGGATGCATTTTAAACTACCAAATAATGAACTTGTGAAACTCAGATGCTGAGAGAATGAAGTATTATTACTGGCTTACCTCTCTGTAGTGTTTTGCAATACAGTCCAACAAGAAGCAAGAAGTTTCAAATGGGTGACAACGGATGAAGGGCTCTAGATTCACACTTGCATTTTCAAACCTAACCAATGTGAGCCCCATTTTTCTTTTTATATTCTTTAGTTCTGGGCTTAATTTCTTGGAAGTAAGAACACTAAGTCGAACTTGGCCAAGGTGCAGTTCAAGGTTAGTAAAGTAATATCTGAAAATACAATGTTATATTTTGGTGTTAAATATACCGTGTAGTATATATTGTATCTAAAATGCCTTCAAGTTATTTCTCTATAAGCAGCCTTATATATCAGAATTCAAGCATCAGAAAAAGCAAATTATAGTGCAGTATGAAACTGGAATTCAATATACATATCCAATGGTACCTCGGGATATGAATTTTTTTTTTGTTCCAGAAGGCTATTTGAGTGCCGATACCGAATAAATTTGTTTCCATAAGTAACAAAGTAAATCAGATTAATCCATTTCAGACCCCCAAAAATACACTTACAAAAGCACTTACATAAATATCTTACATAACTGTTCGAGTTTTGAGCTGTTCGTATCCCGAGGTACCACTGTACACTGAAAAATCTGGATAGTTTGGAACAAAACACTTGTATGCTTTTCGATTGTTTACCTTGTTGCATTAACTGAGGTGGCAGCAGCAAGCATCCTACGCATGTCATACTGATGTTCCTCCACTTTTTCTAGCTCGGAGTCAGATTGATCATAACCAATCATTAAAAACAGCTTGAACAACAATGATTCCTCCAGAGTAACCGTCAAATTTTTCAATTTCACCATTAAGTTCTGTTGGGAAGTAAATAAATTTTGACCAGGTTTTATAAAACTTGTGTTATTTCCAAGGTTCATAAAATGTATATTATTTCTCACCTAGATAGGGCTATGCAAAGAGGAAAAATATATTCAACATCCCTCACTCCTGGCTGTCTTTCCAGAAAAGCACAGATATTAAAGTTGTTAATGTTATTCTAGTATTAATTTCCATTGCTTGTAAATGCACAATATCATGACTAAGGAGCAAATCATACCTTATAAGGTTACCTTACCTTGAATATATATGCATTGGTACATGATGACAAGATCTGATGAGCAGTAAGATAAATAGCAGGAAGATGGCGTGTCTCATCATTCTTACTTTGAGGTGTTAAATAAAGAACCACAGGACACTGGGCAGCCAAAAGTTGATTATCCACCTGATATAAATATATAAAATAAAATGTGTTAAGACCATAATATCCAAGAAAAGCTACCAGAAATTTAAAAAAAAAAACTATAATGTGGTGGAATTTTAGGAGTAGCTTAGTCATGGTGTCAACCACACGAGGCAAGCACAAGGTCCATGTTTACTCCACCAGACTGTCAAAATGGAAGGAAAATGACAGCAGACTGTCACCTGTAAGTGGAAGTATCCTGTGAGAGGGAAATGCCAGAGTAAATGAAGAGGTAGGAAAATTAACTCATTAGTTACTGGGAACAATGATGATATGTTACAAGAGTAGAATGTTTTCTTTACTTTCAACTCACATTATGGAGATACAATAACTGATAGCACCATCTTACCTGAATATCTCGTACACTACAGTCAACAGATCGGTGTACAAGGGAGCTCTGATACTTAAAGACAATATCTGATAACTTGGCATATATGAGTTCTTGTGGGGGCATTTTCTGGATCACAGACAAGCCAAGTCCACCATGAATGTTGAGCTGAATCTATTGCAAAGAATAAGAGAAAATATAGAAAATTAAAATTAAAATATCGTAACCTTGTCTTTGCTGGGTTATATTGGATATATGGTAGTTTACACAGAAGACACAAAATGAAATTATGTTTAGCTGAACACTACTCCTTTTTTGTAGGTCTCAGGAAAATAAAATAGTTATTTATATAATAGAATTCAAACCTGTAAGTATATTAACTCCTTTAGTGTCCATACCCCTGATCTGGAGTGTCCACAGTGTCCAAGAATTTAAAAAAAGTTGTTTTATTTTTAGAGAATTTTTCTGAAGGTAATAAAACAAAGTATGAAATTTGATGGAAAAATTGGCAAAATTACAATTTTGCAAATTTTGCTGTCAGTGATGTTTATGCATCAGTGATTTTGCCCACTTAGTCCTATATTAGGCCAATTACATTGTTCAAGTCAACCAAATTCTTAGCTATTTCACTAGTATGCTGGTAATTTGGCAAATTTCACATAAATTTCAAACTCTACCAATTTCAAAACAGGTTCCAGAATAAACAATGCAGGCATTCCTGGCACAAAATACCTTTCATCCGTGGAGTGCTTGCAGAGGCAAATGCAATGTTCGCGGGTTTCACAGAGACCCACATAAAGGATCACTTGGACAATGAAATATGGATCCCAGGTTACAACCTATACAGATGCGACAGAGTGAACAGGCAAAAGGTGGGGGAAAGGGGGGGGGGGTTGGCCTGTATATCGCAGAGTCACTTGTTTGCACAGAACTGCTTAATGCCTCAAATGATGTAGTGGAAGTTTTAGCAGTAAAGATCGAGAACCAAAACCTAGTCATTGTGGTAGTCTACAAGCCTCCGGATGCAACATCCCAGCAATTCCAGGAACAGATGTTAAAAATTGACCACTGTCTGGAAAATCTGCCAGCTCCTGCCCCCAACATCTTGCTCCTGGGGGATTTCAACTTAAGGCACCTAAAATGGAGGAATATAGCAAATAATGTTGTTGCAGTGATAACACCAGGAAGCAGCTCTGACGAAAACTCACACACACACACGAGCTTTTAAATCTCTGCACAAAATTCAACTTTTTTTTCTTTTTTTTTTCAACAAGTCGGCCGTCTCCCAGCGAGGCAGGGTGACCCAAAAAAGAAAGAAAATCCCCAAAAAGAAAACACTTTCATCATCATTCAACACTTTCACCACACTCACACATTATCACTGTTTTTGCAGAGGTGCTCAGAATACAACAGTTTAGAAGCATATACATATAAAGATACACAACATATCCCTCCAAACTGCCAATATCCCAAACCCCTCCTTTAAAGTGCAGGCATTGTACTTCCCATTTCCAGGACTCAAGTCCGACTATATGAAAATAACCGGTTTCCCTGAATCCCTTCACTAAATATTACCCTGCTCAAACTCCAACAGATCGTCAGGTCCCAAGTACCATTTGTCTCCATTCACTCCTATCTAACACGCTCACGCACGCTTGCTGGAAGTCCAAGCCCCTCGCCCACAAAACCTCCTTTACCCCCTCTCTCCAACCCTTTCGAGGATGACCCCTACCCCGCCTTCCTTCCCCTATAGATTTATATGCTTTCCATGTCATTCTACTTTGATCCATTCTCTCTAAATGACCAAACCACCTCAACAACCCCTCTTCTGCCTTCTGACTAATACTTTTATTAACTCCACACCTTTTCCTAATTTCCAAACTCCGAATTTTCTGCATAATATTTACACCACACATTGCCCTTAAACAGGACATCTCCACTGCCTCCAACCGTCTCCTCGCTGCTGCATTTACCACCCAAGCTTCACACCCATATAAGTGTGTTGGTACTACTATACTTTCATACATTCCCTTCTTTGCCTCCATAGATAACGTTTTTTGACTCCACATATACCTCAAAGCACCACACACCTTTTTTCCCTCATCAATTCTATGATTAACCTCATCCTTTATAAATCCATCCGCTGACACCTCAACTCCCAATTATCTGAAAACATTCACTTCTTCCATACTCCTCCTCCCAATAATAGAATAATAAATAATAATAAATAATAGATAATAATAAATAATAAATAATAATAATAAATAATAGAGCCTACTAGACTGGAGAATACACTAGACCTCATCTTCACTAGCAATGATGATCCGATAAGAAATGTCACCATATCAAAAACAATATACTCAGATCACAACATAATCGAGGTTCAGACATGTATGCGCAGAGCCCCAGATCGACATAATGAGATTAGTCACGAGGGAGCATTCACCAAATTCAACTTCAATAACAAAAACATAAAGTGGGACCAAGTAAACCAAGTCCTAACCGATATAAGCTGGGAAGATAGACTAAGCAACACAGACCCCAACTTATGCCTAGAACAGATTAACTCGGTGGCACTCGATGTATGCTCAAGGCTTATTCCTTCAAGAAAAAAGAGGAGTAGATGTAAAATAGAAAGAGACAGGCGCTCCCTTTACAGGCGGCAAAAAAGAATAACAGAGTGGCTAAATGAGGCCAATATATCTGAAATGCGTAGGGAGTCACTGGTCAGAGAAATAGCAAACATCGAACCTAAGTTAAAGGAATCTTATAGGAGTCAGGAATCGCGGGAAGAACTAAAAGCCATAAATGAAATCGAGAGAAACCCAAAGTATTTCTTTTCCTATGCCAAATCAAAGTCGAGAACAACATCCAATATTGGGCCCCTACTTAAACAAGATGGGTCCTACACAGATGACAGCAAGGAAATGAGTGAGCTACTCAAGTCCCAATATGACTCAGTTTTTAGCAAGCCGCTAACCAGACTGAGAGTCGAAGATCAAAATGAATTTTTTATGAGAGCCACAGAATTTGGTTAACACAAGCCTATCTGATGTTATCCTGATGCCAAATGACTTCAAACAGGCGATAAATGACATGCCCATGCACTCTGCCCCAGGGCCAGATTCGTGGAACTCCGTGTTCATCAAGAACTGCAAGAAGCCCCTATCACGAGCTTTTACCATCCTATGGAGAGGGAGCATGGACACGGGGGTCCGGGGTCCTCCCACAGTTACTAAAAACAACAGACATAGCCCCACTCCACAAAGGGGGCAGTAAAGCAATAGCAAAGAACTACAGACCGATAGCACTAACATCCCATATCATAAAAATCTTTGAAAGGGTCCTAAGAAGCAAGATCACCACCCATCTAGAAACCCTCAATTACACAACCCAGGGCAACATGGGTTTAGAGCAGGTCGCTCCTGTCTGTCTCAACTATTGGATCACTACGACAAGGCCCCCTGATGCCTAAAAGACAAAAAGAATGCAAAGAAATATAAAACAGACTTTCCCAAAAGCCTTCGCCCAAGGGGTGACCATGGAAAAAATAGGGGCACAAAATGCATGCAAAAGGGGAAAACGGAAAATTTGGAAATTTTGAATCTAAAATTTTCCCCCGCAAAAACCCGAAAAACAAAGAGTAGTAGCCCACCGTAGCCGAGGCACCCTACGGTGAAAAGCTCTTTTTCCACAAGGCACAGTACCCCGTTTCGAAATTTTGTTTCCATCCTCTTTACCCCAAGCCCCCGCAAACCCCGTTGTTTTTTCCCCTTTGCAGAAGAACCCCCCGAATTTTTTGGGCCCAAAATTGAAGGGGTTTCTTCCCTTTGGGCAAAAAAAACCACTGGAAAAAAAAGGCCCCTCCCCAGGCCGGAAACTTTCAAACCAAAACCCCTTTTCAATGGGCCGGGGGGGGCCGGGGGGGGGGCTGGGGGGGGGTTGGGGGGGGGAAATTTTGGGGGGGGGGGGCCCGGGGGGGGGGGGTTTAGGGGGAAACAGGAGGGAATTCCCCTTCAGAGAAAAAAAAGGGGGTTTTGGAAAAAGGGGGAAAACCCCCTTTGCCGGGGGGTGGAGGGAATTGGGGGAAATTAACTTGTGGTTTCCCCGCCCAGGCAAGGATAAAAAACCCAAAAACCTGGGGAAATCCCAAACCCCCCAAAGATGACCCCTTTTAAAGGTCACGTTCTATCAAGGTGGAATATTGCGGCACCCTGCCATGCCCCAAAGGGTTTTTAACCCCTTTTTTTAATTTTACTTTGGGGTTTTTTTCCCTTTAAAAGCAAAAATGGAAATAAACCGCCCCTTGTATTTTTAAAAAGGCTAATTTTTAAGTAACAATTATTAAATTTTGTCCCAGGGCCATGAAAAAGTTTAAAATTGGAGGTATAGTAAACCTGCCCCCCGGGTGTCCCGGGTGTATGGTTAGCCTAAAGCCCGAGGGTTAAAACCCCTTTTTCCCCCCCCCCCCCCCCTTTATTTTCCCAACTACTCTACTGGGGTTTTTTGAGTCACCCCAACGTGACCCACTTGCCCCTGAAAGCTCAAGGTTGAGGGAAAGAGCAGTTGGGAAAAAGTAAACAGCCAAAGAACACTCCTGCTCGTCCGGGGAAATGGGCCCAAAGGGTTTATTATCCAGCCCCGGGCAAATTTTTGTTTATTCTAAATGCCCTTTCCCAAAAAAGGGGGAAAAAAGACTTTTTACAAATTTAAAATAATCTCTGTATATATATTAAAATTTTTATATCTGGATCTTCCCCCTAAATTTATCTGTTTTGAAAGGGCCTTTTATATTTTTGGGCAATTTTAAAAACAAACATGCATTTTAAATTTTTTTTTTTTTTTTTTTTTTTCAACAATCGGGGGCCGTCCCCACCGAGGCAAAGGGGGGACCCAAAAAAGAAAGAAAATCCCCCAAAAAAAAAATACTTTCATCATCATTTCACCCCTTTCCCAAACCCCAACCCCGCACATTTTCATTTTTTTTGCAGAGTGCTCAGAATACAAAAAATCAAAAAGCATAAACATATAAAGATACACAACATATCCCTCCAAAATGGGCCCAAAAACCCCAAACCCCCCTTTTAAATCAGGGATTGTACCCTTTTTCCCCTTTCCCCCGGCCCCCAAATCCGACTAAAAAAAATAACCGGGTTTCCCCGAATCCCTTCACT